CAGGGACACCATTTAACCCACCATAATCCCCAATATATTTTTTTGAAGACTTCCTCCTAGCCAAAAATGACCTCTTTCCCCTCTGGGCTCCCGTGCCCTTTATTCAAGTCTTTTAAGGCACTTTTATTGTTCCCTTGTGCAGTGTAGATGTACTGATTCTAGTGGTAAGAGTGTGGGTTGCAGAGTCCTGGGTTCGAATCCCAGCTCTGCCAGTTGCTAGCTGAATGACCCTGGTGGAACCACTTCACTTTTCTTGCTAGAGCTAGAGGTGCTTAGGGCACAACATTTAAGGAACTACTCACTCTCAGGGCCTTGCCGGTGCTGGGACAGCCCTCTCACCACACTGAGAGTAAGACTTCATGGTCTTTCTTAAATTTCATGCCGCGGGTGCCTCTCTTGCCTTACCCTAGTCCCTGCCCTGCCTCTTTCCCTGGTTTTTTAATCTGTAAGATAGAGATAATGACCTCCCTGGTAGAGAAACGATAAGGATTAAATAAGTAACACAAGTGGAAGACTTAATAGAGTGTCTGGCGCATCCTAAGGGCTCAAGAAATGAAAGCTGTTGTTTATCAGACGGGAAGTTCCTGGAGAGCTGGTCTTCACGTCCAATTCATTTTTATACTCCTAATAACCTTAAACACATTACATCAAAAATAGTATGTGATCAATTATGTTTAAGCGAATTAGCGAAACTTTGCTCAGCTTGAGGAATGTGGTGACTGGGTCCATAATCAGGCGAACAGCTCAAACTTCAAGTCCCTGGATCGAGAGTTCTTGAGCTGGTTCATTTCCTTGTTCGTGTTCAGCGTGTAGAAGATTTAGGTGAGGAGCTCTGGACAGAAGGAGTGGAGCCCAAACCTCAGAAAATTGCTGAGGCTGGTTTTCAAATTAGAACCATGAAGGAAAAGGCTCCAAAAGTAGGATGTGTGCACGCGGGAAGGATCAGCTTGCGTCTGGGTAGCAGCTGCAATGTGCAAAGTGGCTTTGGTTCACGGTGCTGGTCACATCAGGAGTGGAGGGGCCGCTTCTCTGGCACCTTCCAGCTCCCTGGGAAGGAGACTCTTTCCTGGAACATGGGGACTATCTCGCATCTTGCCTGGAACTCCATGAAGCTGTTGGCAACATCCAGCTCAGCTGGGTGCACCCCGAAAACACATTTATCTGATATTGGAGTTGATATTCCTCTCTTCCATTGGGGTTGGGACTCATTAACTCTCAGTAAGGACCAACACTGAGGGAGGAGTTTCCTCCCTTTCTCACAGAAAAAAAAAAAAAAAAAAAAAAAAGGTTTCCTTGGACGCGTCGTAGCTCCTGTAACTGATTTGCTCTCCTGGCACGGGGCAGCATGCTGTGTGGTACCCTGAGGCTGGTAAGAAAGGGGACAGACTCAAGAATTCCTGGGTGGGAAGGCTTTTCCCTGCACTTACCACAACTGCTAAAAACACTACATTTAATAGCCCAAGATTGGTCTATATTTGCATGGAAACCATGTTTGTGTGGATTTTTTAAAAAAATTTCAAGACGGTCTTAATAAGAGCCAGACTGTTGATGAGTCTAACGATTAGAAGCAGCTCCTAAATTTCCCACACAATCATGTTAGGTTCCATTCTAAGATCTTGTTCTAAAAGTTCAACATGTGTGGTGTTTGTCTAGCAACCTCACTAAAGCACTCAGATCCACTTCTGCCAGACACATGAATTAGGTACGCAGTTGCCAGCGCAAGGATTATCTCTGTATCTCTACAACCAGCCCCAGAATTTAAGTAAAGCAGTCTGGGGAGGGGGTTGGGAAGGTTCATTTTAATAACTGCTATATTTACGTCCCTCACATCACTGTTAAGTTGTCAAGTATGAAGCAGCCTTTAGTGTGGCCGAGTGCAGACAATTACCATCCCTGGATGAGCTGTGTGCTTGGAAACAAGGAGCACAGAGAGGGTTCTTGGCTTCCAGGACTTTGGCTCGGTGTTTCAATCCATTTAAGTCATGCCCACCATTACACCTGCTTCTTTTGGAGCCAAACTTGCACATTATCACTGTTACTCTTCACTAGCACTGGAATGGCAATCATCTACGAAATCTGCCTTTTCTCTTTCTTTCTTTGCCACAAAATAGAATTTCCAGGAGCTTGTGGGGGTGGAATGGGGGTGTTGAAAAATACATTCTGAGTCACTGCTTGAGAAGTTTTTTTATTGTATTTTTTTTCAAGTGATTCTGGTAGTGAAAGTATTATGGTTATAGACTAAGCAAACACTTAAAGTGGAAACAATCAGATGGTAAAGTCCTCTGCTTTGACGAGAGGTAGCTAGTACTCATTTCTGAGGCTATTATCAACTTGGACTGGGGGGCTGGAGAGGCTCTTCCAGTAAAGGTGGGGGTGCGCACAAAAGAACCACTGCTTTCAAGAGAAACTTGGGCACCAATGATGAACTCATTGCTTCCATCTGTATCTTATATAAGCACAAGATCCTAATGTAAATATCAAGACATGGCTGCACCATGCTGTAGTATCCTAGTTTGTCACGAATCACGAAGTGTCACTTTTTCAACTCCTGAATGCCCAAGGAACAAGAAAGATACTGCATAGCAAGGGAGTCTAGATCAGGGGTTGGCAAACTACAGCCCTATGGCTGACCACCTGTTTGGTATATAAAGTTTTACTGGCATACGGCTGCGTTCATTCATTTACGTATCATCTATGGTTGCTTTCATGCTATCGCAGCTGAGTTGAGTGGCCATGACAGGCCAACAGACCCAAAAATATTTACTCTCTGTGTCTTAACAGGAAAATTTTGCAAGCCCCTCGTCTAGACAAACAGTCAAATGAGTCAAGTATTGGCTAAAGTTCCCCAATTCACAATGCCAAGAGGAGGACTGGGCTGGCTTTGCTTGCTGTCATGCTCTTTGTAATTTAAAAAAATCTTAGGAGCCAGTACAACTAAAACTCCTATTCACCTGGCTTTGAAGAAGCAAGATGGAAAGTAAAATTAGGTCTCAATATATTTTATAGGTTGCCTGGACTTCTAAAGTGTCGCTGGATTGCTCAAATGTGCATAAGTCAATGTAATTTCTCAAAATTTTTAAAAGATGCAAATGTTGGCAACTACTAAAGTATTGGCATTATGCTCGTGTCTGTGCAAAATTCTGCAGTGCTCAGAACCACGTGCTGTAGCTATAAATGGAGTCCTACTTCAAGTACAACTCTTTAGTCTAAATATTTTCGCAATCTTTGAAACCAGTTTTAAGAGTCATCAGAAATCCGTAGTTTAAGACACCAGACACATTTCTTAGCTGAGCCTTCCAGTGCCAACATGTTGGACCAATTCAGTAAAACATGCCATAAATTATATGACTGTTTTATTTGAATTAGGGGGATACTTTCCACAAGAGCAGGAATTCTTACCCGGAGTTCAAAAGCCAGACACGTGCTCTAGGTTATTATTCATACGTGGGTGATGGGTTCGGATCTTGCCTTTGTGGCCAGGTTTGGTCAGGGGCATAGATTATGACAAGGAACAAGGGTGAAAGGCCCAAAGCAGTCGAGATGAGAGCCTCAAGAGCTCAGAGTTAAACAACCTTTATGAATGCAAGACAATTGGCTGGGATGGTTTTGGACTGGCATGTCAGAAGTGATTTGAAGGTTTTGAAATGTCATTAGGGATAGGGCTTAGTACTTGACATTTGTTACAAAAAGGTGTTTTTCTTCTCACTTAAATACATTAGTAGATCATAAATAACAGGATTATGGACTCTCCCTGCAAATGAATCTTAGGAGATATGGGGCTAGTCATAGCAGCAGAGCCAGGCAGGGGACAGGAGCACATGACCTTCCTCTCTAGACTCAGCCTGGGCCACCTGGCTATGTCTACAGACTTAAATGGCTAAAATCCAGTTCTCTAATCATAGTTGTCCTTTTGCCTAGAAGAATTTATAAAGCTTGAGATAATAACTTGGGGGAAGAAATGGTATGCTAGTGAAAGGAACACTAAGGACTTAAATATGAGTTTTGACACTTGCGCCAGGAGTTAAAACATAGAATGAACCCACTAGATAAGTCATAAGAACTAAACAAATACAGGTATAGGATATGATGCTTTCAATTTCAACTCAAGTATAATATGGGATCCTACAGCTGAAGAAAATGTTCATCATTCTGTCTTTTTTGAAAAAGTGGCCCAAATCCTTAAATTGTTCCTTTTGTAATCCAAAAAAGTTCCCCAGCCAAGGTATACACCATCACAGAATGCCACTTACAGACTCTCATTTTAAAAACAAAAGGATGGTTATAATAGGGCTCATTTTCAGGAAAGATGATTCACCATTCTAACTTAGGAACAGAAAGGTGAGATCTTTACGGGGGAGGCTCATAAAAGATGTCGTAGGAGAAATGAATCTTCTCAAGCCTTGGGTACCAGAGTGAGGTTGTGGGATTAACATGTCTCTTTAAATTTTTTTTTTTTTAATGTTTTATTTTTTTAATTTATTTCTAGGAGAGAGAGAGAGAGAGAGCGTGAGCAGGGGAGGGTCAGAGAGAGGGAGTCACAGACTGAAACAGGCTCCAGGCTCCGAGCTGGCAGTCAGCACAGAGCCCGATGCGGGGCTCGAACCCACGAACCGTGAGATCATGACCTAAGCAAAAGTCGGACGCTTAACCGACTAAGTCACCCAGGCGCCCCAACATGTCTCTTTAAAGCAACGCAGCTGATGCTCTAAGTCGGGTGGGAAAAGCAGCCTATGTTTTCTGTAGCCAAACCGTGAACGCACATTTTTGTGTGACAGTCTGCTTGCGTAGCCAGGCCCTAATTAAGATCTAGCTGGTTAGAAGTTCACCAGGGGCAAGTCCAGGGTGTGGGGGACACTTCAGATTACATTCTATGAAGACATGAGACTGTCAAAGCTTAGGAGGGTCCCGGCCGCCTGCATAAAGGGAGACGGCGTAAAGGACCGGGAAGGCTTGCACATGTCAGCACAGAAAAGCTGTGGACACAAATGGAACATGTGCAGTTTTTTTTTTTTTTTTCAAAGGTGGTATCGAATAACAGGCCAGAAGCCATCCCTCTCAGCATTTTAGACCTCTTTCTTCTCTCCACTTTGGCTCTGTGTTGAGTCACTTCCATCAGGCAAAGTTCCATAGGATAAGCCATTGGAATCTGGTTGTATTTTGTCCAGTGTTTGTTTCCCTGTGGAGATAGTAATCACAGAAAATCTTTTGTGCTCTTACAAAAGGATAAGTCTTAATAACTTCCCCTCTCTCCAGGCCACATTTTATTCCCCCTTTCTTTTTTAATACTATGTGGTCACCCTCTAAACAGAAGAGATAAACACCAGGAAGAAAAGGCCCCGGAACTCCATGTCCCTGACTGACCATGCGCCGTCCCCAGGAGAGGCTGTCTCCCCCCCAACCCCCCAGGGCCTATGGTGCTGAGCACAGAAATCGGGTTGGATCAGTCAGGAGGTGGACATGAAGCGTCCACCCATCTCCACACCTTCCTGCCCAGTGTCCTTCCCCCTTTTCCACACTTGGGCTAATGCACATCACAACAAAGAAAACAGACTTTCATAGTAGATTCTAGAAGCTGCTACTGATCCTATGTATGGGGCTTTGCGAAATGAAAAATCAAGTTAAAAACATGAAAACTTTATTTTCTACCCAAGAACCTCTAACCATACAAGTCATTTATAATGCACAGCTTCGCCGTGAACACCAATTCTTGCACTGAATGCTCTTAGCTGATCAGGGGACTCAAGAGGGAAAGAGAACACAGAGTTTCTTGGGCCATATTTTCTCAGTTGTAGGGAGAAGGCTTTAATGAATTTTGCTTCAAAGGCTTGGGCCTAACAGAATGGTAATGGAGCACCATTACTTCTGTCTAGAAACCTAGAGGTCACCCCAAATCCCTAGCAAACCTGGAGATGTTGGGTGGGCAGGGGAGGAGGTGAGGACACAGCACACTTTGCTTTGTTCTGAACGTTGCATCTGTTGTCTACATGACTAAAGCGAGTTATTTCCCAGTGAGAGTGGAGGTCAGGAAAGATGGTGCATGTTAAATGGATCAGGATGGAGGCGAGGGGGGCAGAGGAAAAAGCTATTCATGTTTAGGTGGCTGTGAAAAACACCCCTTTTGGTCCCACAGTGCAGAGGCCACTGCAGTCTTTCCAGGAACTATGTTCCTTAGCAGCCTAACCTCCCGTCCTTAGATGTTCCTTCAAAGGCTCCCCAGGCAGCAGGGGGCTGTTGCTGGCAGCCATTCCCCACTCCTACCTCTCACCCTTTTTCAGTTAAAGGAAACCCAAAAAGGCAATTTACAACATCACCCAAATTGAGAAAACAGGGCCAGTTCTTTTATATCCCCAGTGTTCTGTGCGAAACTGACATTCAAATAAGTGATTGTTAACACTTACAGTTAAAACACTACTTCTGGTTTCATCACTAAATGTGCCCTTTTGAAGGATAAGAACTATATTTTATAATTAATTTTAACACCTTAAATAATACCAGCAACTACTAATTTATAAGGATAAAGTTTTCCATTAAGAATGGAATTAAAGAATAATACACAGTTTACCAGGAATATTTCCAAAATCAATGTAAGACTGTGACAGATGTTCCTTTTCTCGATTTCTTGTGATCAAAAACACACCAAGGAATGACAGAAAGCACCTGTAAGAATAATATTAATAAAGAACACAAGAACACTGAAACAACTCATGGTGTTAAATAACCGAGCTCCATATTCTACATGATGACATAAATTCCATTGGTTTTGTTTTTCCTGTTTTTCATGGTAAGCCTTCTTGAACTTGTCTTAATTGCTGCAGCCAATAATATTTTCCCCCAGAACCAAGACTTGGGCAGTTTCCAATAAATCTCTGCCCCAGGTTTTTACCATCTGGAGGCGAATTCGGGTTCTAAACCCTTTGGGTAGACACTAGGTCTCATTTTCTATCCATGCATGCCCAGACCCATTACTGGCATGCAACACAAGCAAAAAAAAAATTATTTAATTTTCTAAGAAATTTAATTGTCCTTGGCCATAAGAATAGTCATAGTTTCCAGATCCTAGAAGTTTAGGCTCGCATCTTATGAAATTGAATTTTCAAGCTAGATGGTTTTCTACACTGAAAATAGCCTGGGCTCAAGTCTGCATAACAATGGTCATGCAGAATACCAGATCAAGAAACAGCTAAGTGTGAAGGGGGTGCCAGCTGGAATGAACAGAAGATCTTATACCTTGGGGATATTCTGTCAAAGTCCTGCTCTCTGTTTGCAAGAAATGTCAGCAGTGATGCCCACCAAATCTCCAGGAAGGGTTAAAGATGGGCCTCCAGACACAGTTAAGGGATACTACCAATCTGATGTTATTAGGTCCAAAGCTGATAATCTGTCCTGGACTTGGCCTTTTATTCTAGGTGATCCCAGAGGCATCTTTGGTTCCTGAGTGAGATCTAACCTGGAATTTTCTAAGAGTGAGGTAAATCTGATTTAGTACAAAAAGGTCAGAGAGTAGCTACAACAAACAGTGGATTTATCTAGACTTTGGCCGGGACTGAATGTCCCCAGTTTTAGAACCCTCAGGGAGATACCCAAATCACCAAGTCAAAGACACGGAGTCCTGTGTAGGGTGTTAAATTGAAAAATATGTTACTTTTAATAGCTCAGGAAACTAATGTTTCTTATATTACCTTCCAATTTTCTATACCTGAGGTACAATGCCAAAAATCCTACATAAAAGTAATAGGGTTTCACATTCCTTACTTCTGAGATACTTACTCACCCAAATATATATATAAATACGGTAAGAAAAGCTGCACCAAGGAATTCCTGATAAAATATGATACCTATAACAGGAACAAAAGACAAAATTTTAGGGTAAGAATATATATAATAGCTACATGCTGCTTTTTAAATTATGTTAATGTTATTTTTTTCTAAGTATAGGTACCCTTAAAATGCCCAGTCAGTAGCTTAGTTTAAAAATATTTACATGCCACACTCTGGTCTTCAGTGATTTCAAAAAGAACATGGATTCGTAGACTTTATATAAAATATTCTTATCATAAAATAAACACAATTGACATAACTTTTGCAAACAGAAATTTCTTATCCAGTTTAGGATTTATCCCACCGGAACATGCAAGAAAACAAAACTCTGGTGCCATTTTCTACCTACAGTTTTAGGCCAGGGGTCAGCAAGCCTGACCTGAGAGACTGGGTGGGCTCTGGGGCCTCTGCCACAGCATTCCCTGCAGGGCAGGGGCTGGCCACCCAGGCTGTTACTCTTGGCAATGCCCCGTGCCTGCTCAGGCACTGGTGGGCACCGTGGCACCTGCCATTCCGCCCAGTCCCATTTCTCACTGCCAACGCCCTCTCCCTTCTCATTCTTCTGGTCGTCTCTTTTGGGGGAAGAAAAGCCTGGATGTGCTGTTTGCCATGAAGAACTCTTCTTCTCTCTTTATCGGTCTCAATGATTTCTTATTGGTCTCAGGTCCCAAAGCTTTCATCGAGTAGTTTTTTTCTTAAAGCTATCTTTAAATTATGTATTACTTGGAATTGAATTTTTGTGTGTGCAGTGTCAGCCTTGCTGGTCAGCCGATGAGTATTTACGGAGTCCTTTGTGCCGGCCACTGTTCTCAGTGCTGCGGATACCGTGACGAACAAGACAGAGCCCTAGACGCCAGGAGTACTCTCAGAAACCCACCTCCAGGTGGATCCTCACCTGGAGAATCAACTTTGTACAGGAAGGAGCCACGTTCAGTCCTAACACATATCTGTCAAATGGATGAGCACTTTGGAAGCATGTTTTCCACGTCATTGCATACTTTCATGTAATCATTTCAATGTTTCCATGTTATGCCCCATAACATTCATTTCTTTAAGGGTATTTTCAGCTGTTTTGAAATTTTTTTTGCTTTAGAAAATTAGCAATGAACTTCTTTGTACATATTATTTTCTTGGTGTTTTAGGATTTTTCATTTATTTGTTTGTTTATTTATTTATTTTTTATTTAAAGAGCTTGCACATGCATAATACAGGAAGGTAGAGAGAGAGAAGGAGAGAGAATCCCAAACAGGCTCCCCGCTGTCAGCGCAAACTGTGAGATCATAACCTGGGCTGAAATCAAGAGTTGGATGCTTAAATTGACTGAGCTACCCAGGCACCCCAGGATTTTTCTTGTTATTGCTGCTTAAAGCAGAATTTCTGTTTCAAAGAGTAGGAACGTCTTTTTAAAAATTCATAGTAAAATACAAATGACATAAAGTTTACCATCATAACCATTTTTAAGTTTGCAGTTGTGTTAAGTATATTCACACTGTTGTACAACTAATGTCCAGACCCCTCCTGCCTTGCAAAACTGGAAGTCTCTATCCATTAAATGACAAGGTCCCCATTTCCCCCTCCTCTATCCTCTGGCAATCACCATGCTACTTTCCATATCTGTAAGTGTGGCCACTCTGATACCTCACATAGGTGGAATCTTACAGTATTTGTCTTTCTGTTAACTGGCTTCTTTCACTTAGTATAACGTCCTCGAGGTTCATCCATGTTGTAGCCGATGTCAGAATGTCCTACCCTTTTAAGGCTGAATAATAATATTTCATTGTGTGACAAACCACATTTTCTTTTTCCATTCATCTGTTGATGGACAATTTGAATTTCTTCCACCTTTTGGCTATTGTGAATAATGCTGCAAGGCATTATTGTGAATAATGCTGCACCCAAGTGTGCAAATATCTGTTTGAGTCCCTGCTTTCAATTCTTTTGGATATGGACCTAGAGGTGGAATTGCTGGACTGTATGGTAATCCTATGTTTAATTTTTTGAGGAAATGCTATACTGTTTTCCACAGTGGCTACTCCATTTTACATCTCCATCAACAATGCACAGAGTTCAAATTTTTCCACATCCTCACCAACATCCGTTAATTCTGTTGTTTTGGCTTTTTTTTTTTTTTTTTGGTCCTCTTTTGCTAGTAGCCATCCTAATGGGTATAAGGTGGTATCTCCTTGTGGTTTTGATTTACATTTCCCTGATGATTAGCGATGTTGAACATCTTTTCATGTTTATTGGTTATTCATACATCTTCTTTGGAGAAATGTCTATTCAATCCTTTGCCCATTTTTAAATTGGGTTATTTTTGTTGTTGCTGTTGCTGAGTTGTAGGAATCAAGACTAGAAACATTAAAAAAAATTTTGTTTATGTCTTTATTTTATTTTAGAGACAGAGTCAGAGAGCGAGCAGAGGAGGAGCAGAGCAGGCTCCAAGCTCTGAGCTGTCAGCACAGAGCCCAATGCGGGGCTCAAACCCATAGACTGTGGAATCATGACCTGAGCCGAAGTCGGATGCCCAACCGACTGAGCCACCCAGGCGCCCCAAGACTAGAAACATTTTTAAGGCTCTTGCTGAAGACTATGAAACTCAGTTCTAGGAGGGTGGTACCATGCCACCCAGTTCCACAAGAGTGCCAGTAATACTGCAGCCTTGATGGCATTAGTTATTGCAATAAAAAGAACACAACAAAAACTTCACTAGTTCATAGGCAAAATATGCTATCACATTTTAGCTTTAAGCTAGACTTTCTGATGGGGCGAAAAGGGAAAATTAGTCAAGAAGCTTCATCTCCGTTCAATACTTCAGTAATAGCATATAAATTATCACCTCCAGAAAGTTCCAGCCTCCCTGACTCATCAATTACTTGGCGTGCTAAATATTGAGATTCCAGCCCTGTTGGTCTCCTACAAAAATGTTCTTTTCAAGGGAAGTACATTTGTTACACGTCTTTACAACATTAATATTAACCATTAGGCTGTATGTCATGCCTGTAACTCTTTTTGGCCCTATTATTTTTGTGTCTAATAATTCTAGGGCACACGAATGTGCAATTTTTTCTTTCTTTCTTTTGTCAGCAAGCATAAAATGCTAAAAAAAAATCAGATGTCTTGGTATATGATCTTTCTCTTTAAAGTAAGGTTCAGTTTGGGGAAATAAAAAAATGCATCAATTACTTTTAAAAACTGCCCACTGGCAGTCACATTGCCATGAAATAAGAAAGATGTGCCAATCAGGAAACATAATCCTGAATTGCTTCCAAAATACATAAACTTTGCTTTGGGAAATGAACTTTCAATATAAGAAGGTAGTAAATATATACAACAAGCCAATAAACTAGGACATACTAGTATTAAACTTAGGCATGATATACTGGAATCTACTATATTTTGGTTTGGACCAAGTTGCAAATATATGCTTTTTAAAAAAACTGCTATTGTGTCTCACATATGTACTTTTAAATTGTGAATAAGTACAAAAGGACTGTAAAAGTAGAAAAATAGAGGCCAGAGCAGCGAAGATGGTAGTTTCTGTTCTCATCTGCCTGGCTTTCCCTGGAACAGTGGATTCAGTTTGGGAACTCAGCATCTGCTCTAGGTGGTGAGGGGCAAGGAAGGGGGAATTAATGGAAAGAGGGATGTTTGGTCCAGAGACAAGACACAGGAGGACTCTTCAGCTGCTTTGATTATCAGAAGAGCTGACAAGGAGAAGACTCTGGAAAGCAGAAGATGAGAGTCTTGAATTTACAGGGAGGCTAGTTTCAACCCCACTATAAGGAAATACTTTCTAATAATTAGAGCTCTCCAAATCATTAGGGGGATCCAAAACAGGACTCAGCTGTCTCGGGAGACAGAGAGCACTGGGGAGCCTTCACACCAAGAAGAATAACCTGTCTGCCAGGATATTATAGAGGAAATTCAGACCTGGGTGGAGGCGAGGAGGGTAGGACATGGGCTACACAGCTCCTTTTAAGATTTCTTGACTGTCTCATTTACTCCGAGGGAAAACTTATTTGTGCTTTTGTGGGGGTCGAGTCACCTGAGCATAGAAAACCCAAGCTCACCTGCGATAATGGCACTGGTCGTAAAGAAAACATGGTTAACGGGCACCACCATTGCTGTGTTGTAGAGCTTCGTGGCTTGATTCAGGAACCTAGAGCAGAAGGCACTTACTGAAGCTCTGGCTTTAAGAGACGTTCAGCAACAAGTTAACAAAAACATCGAGAAATGCATGTCCTTAAGCGACAACTACAAAGGGAAAGGAAGTGCAGTAAAAGGGCATTTCCAATCAGCAGTCATAGCATATATGCATCTGATGTATGAGATCAGATGTCAGGTTTTATGGTCTGTTTAAACCAACAACAGTAACAATGAAAAGCAATTAATCATATTCCGGGGCCACAGAAGTTTGAGTTGGAAGCGAGTCAAGCTGCTGGACCGGTATCACACTGGAGCTGATTCATTAGGATAGACCCTAGGATCTGTTAAACCGCATATCTGGGGAATAGTGTAGCTATCCATTGACATGCCACGTGCCAAGAAGGAAGATGGAGAAGTAAAGGAATGTTTGATGTTTCAAAAACAATGCTCGGCGCTCCAGCTGCAGAGCACATGTGGGGAGCTCAGCTTCTCACTCTGGCCACCAAGGCGACTCAGGTTCCCGCAGTGAAGCCGTGCTGCCCTGTCACTGACGTCAACTGGGCAGTTTTGAAAGGCACTAATGTTCCGGTCCTGTCCTAGCACAATGAAAAAGAAACGCTTTGTGGGTGTGCCTGGGCACACGTGTGTGTACACGTGTGTATGTATACATGCATGCATGTATATATATATGTGTGTGTACATATCTGTGAACAAAAAGACCACTCCTCGGGTGGTTTTGATGGGTGGCAGTTCTACGGTTCTAGAGATTCACCGGGCGCCAGTGTGGAAGAGGCAGGGACTGGGACAAGGGTGGCGGGGTGCCTTCGGTTGTACCTGCCCCTTAAATTCATAAAACTGAGTTTAAAGATAATGATGCTAATCACCAGATTCCAGAAAGATGTTATAGCCGTGCTGATGAGTTCAGAAGAAGAAAGGGAGAGGAAACAAAGTGGCAAGGCTTAAGCGTTAGAAACACACTCGTTCTCATAAGGACATGACAAATGAAACAGTGACAAAACACCGGGTTTCTTCAGTCACTCTCCACCTTCCTTGCAGCGGGCCCATGTCCGACCCGGCGCGATGAGACTTCGCTGCTAGCATCTGTGGAGGGAATGGTGCTCTTCCCAAGTCTAGGCCCTGATTTCCCAGCTGGCTCTGGGACGGAGTTTATGCATAGCATTTTGGGGTAAACAGAAAGCTTTCCTGGCTGGCTAAAGACAGCCTTGCAGGCAAAAGCATAATCATGATGTGAAACGGAGGGGAAGTGACTGGAGCAGATGGAGGTAGGGGGTGGGGGGAGAAGAACAGAAATTTAAAATGTTCCATGTCACCACTATTAGGCCCCAAAAGAAACATAAAACAATCATTCCACGATCCCTTGGGTACAAAGAAAATTCTGGCCAAGGATGCAAAGTTTTGGGAAAAGGATTTCCCTCCCGGCCAAATGTCTGGTTTTGTCCATCCCTGGGCAATTAATGAGCATGAGCTAAGAATGAAGGTGAAGGGTTCATGTATTTCCTATATTTAGAATGAAATCCTGGATGTGGACCTGCCCCTTTGATTTATTGCTAATGACAACCTGCGTACGATGGATATTAATTACAAGCAGAAGAGCATCAGGAAAGTATCAAAGTGCACTTAGCTAGATTATGGCCGTACTTTAGAACTCACAAGACATGAAGGCAATGCTTAGTAACAACTTATTATTGGACGCGAAGGAGAAAGCAAGGCATGCTGGCTGAGGATAAGCTGAAGGCCCTTCACCCTTAGAAATCAGTTACACCTCATTTTAATTATCCATGGATGCCAATAAAGATTAATGCTCAGAGAAGCACAGGAATGTTGAAAGATTAGTCAGTAGGTAGGAGCTAACTTACTTGACTTGGAAAACACAAGACGCTATCATGATGATAAACATGATATAGAAGATGGGGTAAGTTAGTTGCATTTTATCCGTCACAGAAAAAGTGATCATGCCTGAGACTGCTTTTACTGAAATAACAGTCAATGAGGCTGAAAAAGAAAACAGGAGACACAAATAAAATACACATTTGAGATAGAATTACAAACAAATATCTGAAGCTTACACAGTAGAGCGGTCAATACCCCAGGCATGCTTTCAGGATGCAGGCTTGTGAGAGGCTGGGGTAGGACGTGGCTCCGGACAAGTGGCAGCCGGACAGCTCAAGCCGTGCGGCACTTGGAATTTACCTAAATCAGCTAAAGATCTGCTATGTGACTGGGTGCTTTTTATCTTGGGAGCAAGCTGCTTATTTCCCAGCCCTTGCTGCTGAAAGGATGCCGCGGAGGTTATAATTACTAGGAGATGGGAGAGGAGAAAACAATGATGGGGGGGGGGGCGGGGAGAGAAGCGAAGTCAGACAGTCTATGTGACATGAATGGGAAAATAACTATTAAACGATATCGAAAAAATTTAAAGCCAAATAGATGAGAAAACTGGAGAGTGGAAAGCAACTCCCTCTGTGAATTTACTAAGAGTTGTACTGAATTCTATGTATGAGCCTTTTCGTTCATAAAGGTCTAGAAGTCTCATGAAAAAAAATATTTTTTAAAAGACAGGAATAGGAAGCAGGACCAGCGCCTAGTATTCATCTCTCAGAGTCAACCATAAATCTAAGGTTTACATAAGCACTGGCTATTTATTCTCTGTGCTAAAGAGGAACCTCGCTTGGGAGAACAAATGTTCCATAGGTTCCAAATAGCAATGAAGAAGTGACTTGATAAGGTTATATATGAAGGCAATGAGGTCTTTTCTAGAAACACCATGTCTCTGTAGGAAGAAAATAGTGTTTTCTTTTGGTTTTAGGTTGCTTAAATTTAATGTCGCATCTAATTCCGTAACTTAGCTGAAACTTACAGAAAGTGAAAAAAATTTTTTTACATCAACTCATATAACTCTAAGTCAAAGACAATGCAAATGAGCAACATTATCTGTGTTGTGGTTAGTCTACCTGGTCATGTTATCTCTCAGCTTTATCCCTTTTAGCTTTTGAAAAGGTATTATATATATAGAATGTTTAAAATAGCAGATGATGGCTAACCAGGAAAAGCCTCCCCTAATCTCCTTTTCCAAAAACTGAAAATATACTTTAGCTTGAAGAGTACCAGGGCACACTTCCAAATTAGGCATTTTTCTTTCCATTAAAAATCATAACAGAGAACAGGTGATAAATTCTAAAAGCCAACCCTCAATCTGAACAAAGAGGTCTTTACAACTGGGCCCCTCTTCATCTTAAAATCTTTTGACCTGATCATTTTACATGTTTTCTATAGATTATGAAAATAGTCCTATCTTAGCTCATCTAGGAATTTTATCTGCAGTGATGTGCGTCACTTGATGGTTTAAGTTTGTAAGGTTAGCTCTTGAGGGATCTTGATTTCCTCTTCAAGATTTTGCTTGAAATTAGACCACAATGTGGTTACAGCCTTGTGGTCTGAACAGCCAGGTTTCCCAAAGGGGTCATTAATGGGTAAGGAGTTGAACAGGCTATTCCATTAGCCTCAGAACATCAGGATTGCAAAGGCCCTTCAAGGTCATCTAATGCAACTACCATCTGATGTTAAATTATACTTAACCACAAAACAAAAACAAAACTAGACTTTTTATTAAATAGCTAAAGCAACTATTGGTTTGCTATAATCATTGTATTTTCAAAGCATGTACAATCACCAACCAATTAAACACTCTTTACTGTAACTCTGCAAGTTATTTCTAGGCTGGTGACAAGTACTTCTGTTTTATTTTTGGGTGGGACTGTGGCTGATGAGGATAGGTGAAAATATATAATTTAACATGCTATCATTCTAATGTATATATAAAAATAAAAAGTGCTCATGTATTTTCTATTTTTATATACAGAAATTAAAAGCTAGAAAAAAATGCCAGAAGAAACTACATCAAGATACTATCAGTGGTTATCTGTAGGCACTGGGATTATGCAGGACCTTTAAGCTCATTTTTTAAACCATAAAAGTTTATATGTTCCTTTAAGAAAATTTGGAAAAATGCAGAAAAGCCTAGAAAGAAAAATGAAAATCACCTGTCATCTCAACAGTCGTCTCCAAATTATTTTTAACACTTGAGAATATTTCTTTGTAGCTATTTTTCTGTCTCTGGATATGAATACATTGTAACAAATATATGTATATATAACAAATAGTATATACTATTTAGGAACCTAGCTTCAATTGCCGCTAAGTATTTTCTATGCCATTAAATAGTCTTCTAAAGCATGATTTTCATCAGCTGTGAAGTATGCCTTTGCATGAATTATACTTCATCTTGGTAATTCCCTATTTTTTGCATATTTAGGTTACATCCCCCCTCTTTTTGGCATTAAAAATGAGGTCGGGGCGCCTGGGTGGCTCAGTTTGTTAAGTGATTTCAGCTCAGGTCATGATCTCACGGTTTGTGGGTTCGAGCCCTGCATTGGGCTCCGTGCTGACAGCTAGCTCAGATTCAGCTAGCCTGCTTCAGATTCTGTGTCTCCTTCTCTCTCTGACCCTCCCCTGCTCATGCTGTCTCTATCACTCTCCCAAAAATAAATAAAACATTAAAAAAAATGAGGTAGTGATGAATATCCCTGAACATACATCTTTGCATACCACTCTGCCAGTTGCTCTAGGAAAATGAGCTAAAGGGGGCTCTGGTGACAGCTGCTGTTCTTCTGAAATATACTGGCAAGCTGCCTTCTACACAGTACCGTCACCCTCCCCTAGTACTGTGAGGCAGTGCTCAGTTACATGGATTTTTTACCTCTGTTTTCTTAGTTCTCAACAAAAGACGTGTATTACTTTTGTCATCACCACAGTGCTGTTTTTGCCTGACATAGCTGACCTGTGTTTGAAATCTGGTCTTCTTGGTTTTCTCCGACTTCATCAATTGTTCCTTCCAGAGACTTTCTCAAATTGCTATCAATGTCTCTTTATTAGAGCCACAGATATTTCACTTATTAATTTGGCTTCCATAATCCGAGTATGCTAAGCATGGAGAAGCACCTTCTGGCATTCCCAGCTTCCTGATCAGTTGAAAGCATCCTTTTTAAAAATTTTATGTATTTAGTGTGTGTGTGTGTGTGTGTGTGTGTGTGTGAGAGAGAGAGAGAGAGAGAGAGAGAGAGAGAGAGAGCAGGAGGCAAAGAGAGAGGGAGAGAGAGAGAGAATCACAAGCAGGCTCTGTGCTGTCAGTGCAGAGCCTGATGCAGGGCTCAGACCCACAAACCATGAGATCATGACCTGAACTGAAACCAAAAGTCGGACACTTAGCAGACTGAGCCACCCAGACGCCGCTAGTTGGAAGTATTCTGCTGGGAGTTGAAAGAAGATTGCAGCCATAGGCATGGGGAGCCCCTCACCAGAAGCCAGCTTTCTTTCTTCCTGGTTGCCCTCACTTTCTATTTTCTTTTTTAGTTCATTTTTTAAATCTATCACACAAACAATAGTATGTTAAAAATAAACTTAAAAAAAATCCACCTGCATACTGCTGCTACCTCTCACTCATTTCCAGTGTACGCCTCATGTGTGCTTTTAATCACAACGAAGGTAGTGCCATGTTGTGTGCTATGTTTTCCGTTTAACCTGACACTATAAATATTTTTCAAAGCTGCTACCCAGTTTTCATAATTATTTTTTTTTCTTGTAGAAGTGATGTGATCATTATAAAATACCCAACCAACACAGATTAGTATAAAAAGAAGAGTGGGCAATCTTTTTCTCATTTCTTAGTGTAATGACAGCACTGGTGCTATTTCTCCATCACGTATGCTTCTTCAGCTTTTGGTTTAGGAGAAAGATGTTTTTCTAATTTCACAGAAACAGAGACTAGAATGGTGGTTGGCAGGGGGTAGGGGAAAGGGGGTGATATAGGTCAAAGGGCCCAGATGTTTAGTTTAAGAAGAGTAAATTCTGAGGATCATTCGCTTAACTATAGTTAATAATGGGGTATTGTATACTTCAGAGTTGCTGAGAGATCTTAAGCATTCTCACCACACACACACACACACACACACACACACACACCTGTTCACTATGTTAACTATATGAGGTGATAAATGTGTTCACTATCATGAGCTTGGTAATCATTCTACAATGTATATGCATATCAACGTATCATGTTGTGTAAATATATACTATATATATTACTACATGTATACTATATGTGCCAATTATTTCCCAATAAAGTGAAAATTATTAAAAAGAGAGAAATATGTTTTTGACACAGATATCCCTCTATTCCGATTACATTTCAAATTCTTTATTAGAAACGGATGTTAAATTTTAACATGTCTTTTCAGCATCTAGATATTTACATGCTATTCCCCTTTTGAGTCATTAACATGATGAACTATATTAGTGGATTTCTTTAAGAACCACTCTTTCATTTCCATAATTAACCTAGTTAATTCAAATGTTTTCTTTGCACTCACTGTCCTCAGAACAGACATGGCTGTGTCCTCATAGAACTAATCTGGTGGAGAAGATGAGCTGATAACAGAATGTAAATATATAAGTAGAGTATATATGCACAAATTATTATTATTTTTTTTACAAATAGTTTATTGTCAAATTAGTTTCCACATAATATATGCACAAATTATTATAAGTGTTACAGAGAAAAAGAATCCATTTCATTGAGACCACTTGGTCATGAGGTATGTTTTTTCTTTTTTCTAGATTCTACTTGCTAATTTTTTATTTGAGACTTTTACATTAATATTGAGTAAGGAAATTAGTACATGGTATTCCTACGGTATGCTACTTGGGATCAGTATTTATACTGATTATGTAAACAAAACTGGAAAGCTTTTTATGCCTGCAAATAGTCTGAACAACATCAGAATAATCTGTTTCTTTTTTTTTTTTTTTTTTTATTTATTTCTAGGAGAGAGAGAGAGATTGTGTGTTTTGGTGTGTTTTAGAGAGAGAGGGAGTCACAGACTGAAACAGGCTCCAGGCTCTGAGCTGGCAGTCAGCACAGAGCCCGACGCGGGGCTCGAACCCACGAACCGCGAGATCATGACCTAAGCGAAAGTCGGACGCTTAACCGACTAAGCCACCCAGGCGCCCCGGGAATAATCTGTTTCTTAAAGATTTAAATCTTTTAGGTTGAAAGTATGTAGGCCTGGTTCTTTTCAGGATGTAGTTTTTTAAACAGCTCTTCTATGCCTTCTGTATCTATTTTCCTCTAAAAAAAATAAGTGATTTAATCAAGTTTTCATCTTTGTTGTCACTTTTAATTCTAAATTTTAATTTTAATTTTGGATATCTGAGATTTTTCCTTTCTTTCGTTTTATGAATGATCTATTTTAATGTCTTTCAAGAATAGGTTCTTGGGATTATTTATCAATCCGTTGTTTTTCTGTGTTCCATTTCATTAATTTTTACCTTTATTAATTGCTCCTTTCTGCTTGCCTCAGCTTTATTTCAGTATTATTTTTCCCCTTTTTGAGTTGAGGGCTTGACTTACATTTAATGCAATGAATTTCCTTCTGAATACAGCATTAGTCATAAGCTATAGGTTTAATATTAAGTGTTTCTGTAATAATTTAAAATATATATGCTGCAATGAAATCTTGGTTTCTGCTTGAGCCCAGCTGCAGTTTAAGAGTAGTGTCAACATTTCTAGATGTTACGGTCTCACTGGCTTCTGTTATTATTTTCTGTTTTTGTTTCACTGGGATCTGAGAATGTGGTCTGTACTATTTCAACTTCCTGGAATTTATCAAGGATTTCTTTGTGGCCAATTACACAATTAACTTCTGTAAATGTCACACAGGCACTTGAAAGCAGGTGTATGGTCTGTTTTCGGGATCTGGAGTTCAACATTAGAGCAATGTTGAGGTTTCATTCCTCTATCCTTATAGCTCTTTCTGTCTACCTACCTTCCACGAGCTAAGAGAAGTCTTCGGCTCCTCTCGTATTTCTATTAACATAGTTTTCAAAAGAGCTGCTGCTCAAATGTCCTGAGGCCTCCTGGCCTTAGTGCCCCCCCTCCCAGCCCTCAGCCTGCCACGCTGGGCAGCTAAATACTAATGTGGGGCCTCCAGGAGGCTTTGCTGCATTTAGTGCTTCTGTCTGGATTTTAACTTGGGCAGTAAGAGTATGGCCTTCTGCTTTCTTTTACTTTCAATCTGCATTACCTTGTTTTAGATGACATGTATGTATGAAGTTGGAGTATTTCACAACCAGCAAGTGCCGGTTAGAAAGAGCACCATTTCTGTAGCTCTCGTGGAGTTGAACTGGAGAACACTGGCTGTATCCAAATTTCAGAATCTTTTTCAAAACCAGTCTGGGAATTTTTCTGAAGTCCAATATGGGAATTTTCTTTATTACTAGGTGAATTTATCCTATTTACATTTATGATCATGACTGCTATGTATGATCTTAATTCTGTTATCTTATTTTCCTATTTAAAATTTCCTTTATTTTCAACATTTTTCTATATAATGTGTATTTTATCTCTTAGTGGTTTGCTTTCGTTCTCCCTACCTGGTAATTTGGAAAGAAACAACAATAAAGTTCTTTTTCTGTTCTTTTCATCAACAGCATACCTGACTATAGTATAGATTCATTTCTATAAGTAACTATCACAAATACAAATCTTCTAATTCAAAGGAGAGAACTAGTTCATGAAATGAAGATTAAAAAATGAAATCTCAGCTCCTCCTTAACATGAAGGCTGCTGTCTATCCCAATGGTATAAGTATAATCTATAGAGTCACAGCAAACAACACATGATGTATAGTTCATCTTATTGGCAAAGAAGAGGGAAAAAAAGAATTATAAATAATTTTTAAAGGCATTTTTCCAAATGACTAGTGAGAGCTCCTAGTGTTGATTTATATGAAGGTGTGTGTGTGTGTGTGTGTGTGTGTGAGAGAGAGACAGAGAGAGAGAGAGAGAGAGAGAGAGAGAGAGGAGGGGAAAGGGTAGATTTAAAAATACATAGTGGGCTTATAGAAGCATCAGTTTCCAAATCCTGGAAAAAAAAGGAAATGAGTAGATAAACAATGAATGAAAAAAATATTGTATTTAAGAAAATCATTCTGCTTACATTTATGTTTCATATTAGCCACATCTCAGTAATTCCTGAAACAAAAGTTTCAGTTGGGATCATTCATTTGTTCCTCTTTTAATATTTTTCAATTATATCCTAAGAAATAAAATACTCTAATTGTCAGAGAGCAAATAAAATTACCCTGAAGTAAAAACCTTACATGTTTTTAAAGGAATTAAACACACCAATTGTAGCCATGGATATGCAAAATATAGTTTGCATGATTGAGCCTGGGTTTCTTCTACAGATCAGAGTTGAAAAGTAGAAACAATGAGAAAGGAACAGAATGCTCAAGTGTCCTTCAAATCTTTTTTGACTTAGCACAGTTAGATTACAGAATGAGAAAACAGTAAGTTCTTACCTAGGAGTGCCACCAGGCTCAGCAGAATCACCATGTGCTTCATGGCTTTTCTCTTATGGAAATAGAGGAGGGTGCAGAAAAGTAATATTTCTGAAATCTAGAAGTGAAAAAGATGAAAAAGAGTAGAGTGTAAATTATTTTACACAAAGTCTTCTGAAGGCCACACTTCTCTTTCTGGTTTCTCAGCAGTTCTGTGAGAATTGAGGGTGGCTGGTGTTCGTTCCTAAGGACAATGACAAATGTATGAGAACAATATACGGAACCTCAGCCACGCAGACCCAGAGCTCTAACCTCACCTATATGCCAACAATGCCGAGATAGGCAATTCTGGCCTCATTTGTCCAACTACCTTCTAGACATCTCCACACACAGGTTCAATAGCCATAGAACACAAATGCGGGCAGTAAACTCCTGTGGGCCTTCCTTCCCCACCTATCCCTCCTGGGACCTTCACCCCTGCAGTGAGTCACATCATCACACACCTCTTTGCATCAGCCAGCAACTCCTTCCTCTCCCTCACTCCCTCCTGCCCTCTCTCTGACCACTGCAATAGCTTCTAGTTCGTCTCTGATTCTACTCTTGCCTCTATAATCCAACCATTCAGCAGCCAGAGGAATCATTTAAAGGCACAATTTGAATAATGAACTAGGTCATTCATACAGAATGTATGATACACATATAAGGTATTTACATAATATGACAAGCAGCCATGTGCCCTGCACCCAGCCAGAGAAAGAGAACACTATGAGGCCTCCTGTGCACCACACTCCAATTGCACCCCTCTCCTCCTAGGCTCTCCCCAGCAACCACTACACTGAATTCTGTGTTTACCATTCACTTTCTTTATAGTTTACCATCTTTCATGTATCCCCCAACAGCACCTTGTTTATTTTTGCACTTTATACCTGCAGAATCATAGTTGCTTTCAATTACTTGCTTTTCCCCCACCCCACTGTGCATTATTTATGAAATTTACCCAGGATGATGTATGTAGTAGAAATATATATTAATCCAGTCATTCCTTTGCTTAAACCTCCTATGGTTTTCTATCATGTTAAGAATAAAATCTTGGATGGGCTACCTCTGTTGGCCACAGATCCCCCCCACCCCCCCCCACCAGTTCTCTGCAGTGGTCAGATTGCTCCTGCCTTTGGGCCTCTGCACTAACTGTTGGGAGTTGCCTGGAATACTCCTTCCCTGATGTCCCTACAACGGCTCCTTCTAGTCACTCAAATTTCAGCTTAGACATCACCTCCTCCATGAAGTCTTCTCTGACTGCTCTAATCTAGCAGAGCCACCTCTCATCTACTGTAGAACATTTTATCATCAACTGGCATTTTCCTGTTCATGCACTTATGTGTTTCTTGTCTGTTTCCCCAGCTAGCACATGAGAACAGGGACTTTATCTGCCCTATTGGCTGTTGTCTTTAGTGCCTGGGCACAACTGGTTACTCAATAAGTATCTATGGAATTAATGAATAACTTACACCTCAAATTTATTATGAACAACTTGCCAAAAACCAGACCTAATGTCTAATAAACTGAGTGTTCAATAAATATTAATTGACTGTCTAAAATTTTCCTACCCTTAAGAAAACTCTAACGTAATTTTGAGTTCTCAGTTTTATTTTTGTTTTAACTTTTTTTTTCTTTTTTGAGGTCATTAAGATAGCTTGATGCAAAGTTTTTTTTTTTCCAAAGAGGTAGTATCCTTGGCTTGAAATCATAAATATGAATGTTTACTTTTCTGATGTAAAAACACCACCACTCATTTTTTCTTAAAAATTACTAGAATTAGGGACTTTGCCACATTCAGGGCAATGTTTTACTTATGGAGCCCTCTCTAAATCAACATGAATCGCTACTGTTTCAGTTCAAGGCTTGCTTGTTGTGTGTGTGTGTGTGTGTGTGTGTGTGTGTGTGTGTGTTTGTGTGCGTGTGCATGTGCATGTGCGTGTGCGTGTGTTTCCCCCTTGAATCCTCTGTGGGCACAGAAAACAGCAAGACCATATCTTCCTCATTTAAAAACCTTTCATCTCATGTGGAAGATTAAGTCATCCCTCAGTCTTTTCCTGGTGAATTAAACCAATTACTTTAACTTTTTCTTATAGGCCTTCTTTGCCAGGTCTTTAATTGAATCAAGCCATGCTCCAAAAGCTATTAAACTCCTATCACTTTGTCTTCCCAAAACTACCATCACAACATGGGTTGGGTGTCCCCAGCTCTGTGCAGCTCATCAATCGTTAGCAGAAATACCCTTGTTGGCTCCATTCCACTCTCAACCACGGGCTTCCATTCCTCACACTGACACAATTACAAGCAACTCACGGCGGCGTTTGGGACCACTGTCTTTGTCACTGGAGAGAAGGCAGCTCGGCCTGCATTGATGCACAGAATGTGCTGGCTAAATCTGTTAGCAGGGGGATTATTAAATTGGGGGGTAGGGGGAAAATGAGGGTAGTTATCAGCTCTAAATATCAAATATGACTTTTTTTTTTCAAATTCCATCTCTGTGGTTAACATGAGCTCCTAGGACTCACATTGGCTGTCACTGCGCTAGATTCTGCCTTGTGGCAAGTGGTCACGGAGCCCCCAGGAATAAAATAGTCAAGCAGCATGAATTAATGTTAATTTTTTTTCTAGCAACATATTTTCTGCCTCTCTGAAAATATCACTATGAAAACAGCTGTGGTTTCTACAGGTTGCTGAGACCCAGGGAGAAGCTGCTGAGCTGATTGCGGTCTCAGGGCTCAGAAATAATGACAGCACTTAACTGCAGGCTCACCACCCACTCTACATGCACCAATTCATCGAATCCTCACAACCTTAGGAGGCAGGAGCTATTTTACTGATGAAGAAATCAAGGCTCAAAGGGGTTAAATGATGCAGGTCTAAGAGGCTGCATAACCTCCCAAAGATGCACATGTCCTAATCTCTGTACTTGTGTGCATGTTACATTATATGGCAAAGGGCCTTTGGAGATGCGATTAAGGCTACAGACTTTGAGATGGGGAGATTATCCTGGATTATCCAAGAGGGCCCAAAGTATGCACACGAGTCCTAAAAAGCAGAGAACCAACCCAGGCATGGTCAGAGAGAGATGGAATGTGAGAAAGAACAGTGTCAAGGAAGGTCGGTGGCCTATAGAAGCTGGAAAAGGCAAGGAAATGGATTCTCCTCCAGAGGCACCAGGAGGAATATAATCCTGCCAATAAGTTGATTTTAGCCTAGTGAGACCGTGGTGGACTTCTGACCTTCAAAACTGTAAGATAATAAATTTGTATTGCTTTAAGCCACTAAGTTTGAGGCAATTCATTCTGGAAGCATTAGGAAACTCACTCAGGTTTTGGTATCTGATGAAGTCCTTTCCGAAGAACAGAATCTTCAGGATGAGTTTTCTGAACTGACTCTGGGTTTTCTGGATTGGTTCTCTAATCTAATTAGATTTAAAGGCACCAATCACCCTGTTTTTGGTGGTGAGAATAGCACTGGTGGACCTTGGGATGACGTGACAAAAGGGATACACAAAATTTCACCATTGGATGCCCCACTTCCAGTACAAAAATCTGAGCCCATGTTCATCTCATTTTCCCTCACCAAGTCCTTCCTTGAAAGTGCAGACTTTGAGATGACTTCCTTGCCCAAAAGAAATGAGCTCTGCAAAGGCTCTCTCCAGGGCCGTCTGGACAAAGATTTGATCCTCAGGAGTTGGCTTTTATTAATTCTGCACAGAGAGTTGTGTTGTGAATTGGATTGGCGTGTGCACCCTGGAGGTGGGCTGCTTGGTTTTGAATTCTGGTTCTGCCACTTAGTATTTATGTAGCCTTGGGCAAGTTACCAAACTTCCCTTCCTCAGTTTCCCCATCTGCTGATGCATAGGGCTGCTGCACAGGTAAAGGGCAAAATGTCATCAGCTGCATGCAGGGCTCAGCCTGCCCGGTCAGTGCTGGCCGCTGCAACTGCAGAAGTGTGCCCGGGGCAGATATGCAAGAGTCACATGCATTCAGGCAGCAGAGCAAATGAACCTCATGCAATAGATATTGAGGTCGTATGAAAATAGTTTTTTTCCCCCCTTCAGGTTTTTAACACCTGGTGCTGGGTTTTGAAGCAGTTTTGCCAGAAAGGATGACTTAATAATCAGCTTTGGCATATAGAATTACACCCAACAATAGGGCTCAGCCTCTGCTTCTGCTGATTTAATTGTCTGCCTGGTGGAGAGAAAATGAGCACCATGTGGATTATTTTGTGAAGGATCCTATGTGCACAAGAGAAGTTTCCATTTGAATACTCTGTTGGAAAATCTGGGTGGGCAAAATGGCCACAATCAAGCCTGCCAAAGAACATGAAGGAATTGAGGCTCGGGGCCGAAATGTCCTCATGTGTGTTCTGCAGACCGCAGTAAGAGGTTTACTCAACAAAAGGTCCTTCAGGAAAAGGACCTCGTGGTCGGCAATTCCATCCCTTTGTTTCCTAAAGGACTTCTGGCTTTGAACATGTGAACAGAGATGAATTTCTCAGAGGGGGCCATGGTAAGCAGCATCTTTCTAAGAACATTTAACCTTAAAAATGCACTTGCTTTTTGGTGAGCACCAGGTGGGGCTACCCATCTGTGAACACAGGCTAGGAAAGACCTTATTAGTGGGTGAGCAAAGGACACTTCATGCTTCACTGGCCAGTACCAAGCTTCTCAAATCCTCCGCCTGCTACAAAGAGAACCAGTTCAGAGGACAGGCTCCTGGGCTTTGTTTCTGAGGCTTCCACTTCACGTAAGCCTTAAAGGTAACACAGACATGGACAAGACTTAAAAGTAACATGGACATGAATGTAACGCGGGCATCCGCCTGGTGCAGGGAAACACATGAGACAAGGAGATGCTGTTAGCCAGTCTGGGATACAATTTTACAATCCTCATCTGAGAAAGGTAAAACTTATTCAGACTCTAAAATATCTCTTTATCCATTTTATTCGTTATTTGATTAGTCCTTTAAAGCAATTCAGGTACTGCATTTATACTCGGGGTAGTACAAGAGCAGCTAGGTGAATGATCGTTCAAAGAATAGCCTTAATTGCTCTAATTATGATCTCTGCAGTCATGATTTGCAGAAAAAGCACAGAAATTTCCATTTCCAAGGATTAAATATTAATTACTTGATGTTTTAACAGATTTAAGCCAAACTTCAGCTCAAGAGCTTAGCATGTAATTGGTAACTTTGTAGAGTCTTTAGAGAGGTAACATATAATGGATTAAATTCCAAACTAAGATATATTCCCTTTAGAGTCTAAAGCCAATAACGTTATTAATTTTTTAAGGTTTATTCATTTTTCAGAGACAGAGAGAGACAGAACATGAGAGGTGGAGGGACAGAGAGAGAGAGAGAGAGAGAGAGAGAGAGAGAGAGAGAATCCGAGGCAGGCTCCAGGCTCTGAGCTGTCAGCACAGAGCCCAACACAGGTCTCAAACTCATGGACTGTGAGATCACGACCTGAGCTGAAGCTGGACGCTTAACCAACTGAGTCACCCAGGTGCTCCCCCACAGTGTTATTCAAATGTGACTTTATTAAAGACTTACTTTATGCTATCTTATAAATATCTGGAATCAGTTACATTTTTGGGTGGCATTTACTTTCAAATATACTTTCATTATTTTATGGAAATATGTGTCTCTCCCAGGGCTGTAAAATTCTCTATACCCTGGGTGTCCAGTCTGTTGAATGAACTAGTGAATAAATGAATGAATGAATTTAAGAGTTGACTTTGAAAAATGGCAAAATGCAAGTAATGTCAGATATGCTTTTTGTGTGTGTGTGGAAATAGAAGGTTTAATAAAGAGTAGTTTCGTTCTTCCAAATGTTTTCTCTGGTGTTAAAATAATATAAGTCATGTCATCATCAAACAATGCTGCTTATTTGCAGGCAATTAAGCCTTGCTGCATCTTTAATCTATAAAGGATTCAATTCGGGCTATTCATTTTCTGGTTACAGACTATGTGGGCTTTTTCTTACTGGATGAAGAATTTGTTTTGCCTGTGAGAAACAATGAAATCTGGCCACGTGTAGCAACATGGATGGACCTTGAGGGTGTTATGCTGAGCGAAATAAGTCAGGCAGAGAAGGACAAATACCATATGTTTGCACGTATAGGAGGATTAGGAGGAACTTGACGGAGGAACAAGGGGGAGAAGAAGGGGGAAATGGTGGGGGAAAGGGAGAGAGGCAAACCATGAGAGACTCTTGAATGCTGACAAAAACTGAGGACTGATGGGTGTGGCGGGGAGGGGGGGATGGGCATGGAGGAGGGCACTTGTGGGGATGAGCACTGAGTGTTATGTGGAAACTAATTTGACAATAAACTATTTGTAAAAAAAAAAAAAAGAATTTGTTTTGCCTGTAGGCAAAAAATAATAATATATTGGTAGGAGTTCAAGTGTAGGCTATCATGAAAATGGATGTGATTGATAAAATCTGTGATTGTTAAAGGGCTGGGTCTGCCGGACAAGCAGGAAGATACAATGGGGCACAGGGGAGACACAAAGTATGATAGACCTGAATTAGGCAGTCCAATCCTAAAGGTTGATACACAGAAGAATGGGAGCCTTCCAATATAAAAAAGAAGAGAGTTCACGGGAGAAGACATTGAGTTCAATGTTTGAGATGTTACATCTGAGGAACCTATGGGACATCCAGGCAGGGATGAGTAATAAGTGGACAGATGAGAACACAGATCTGCAACTCAGAAGATGCCTGGGAGGGAGATGTAGATCTGGATTTGAAAGTCTTTCTAAAGGATGATGGGGGTTGTCAGTGGTATCACACTAGAAAACTCTGGAAGACTATGTAACATGAATAGATTAAAAGTGGTTGGCATGAGAGAAGGAGGTGCCCACCAAGAGTATGGGATGGCCTAGTCACAGAGGAAGAGGAGAAACAGGGAAAATAAACTAAGGAAGTCATGGAAGAGAAGGGTTCAAGGAGGAAATGATGGGTTATGAGTAAATGTTGCACAAGGTTCAAGGAGCAGCAGGACCAAAAAAGCAATTCTATCTGGCAATTTGTGTGTGTGTGTGGGGGGGGCAGGGGGGATCTACCAGATGATGAGGAGTGAATAGGAGCCAGGAAAGTAGAGGGAAGGGTAGAGGAGAAGGGAAATAAGACAATGTATTAAAGAGCATGTATGGATGAGGATTAAAAAAACCCCAGAGAAACCTATTATCTTTGAGTAAAAGAAACCAGTATAGAGGGAGACCAGAAAGAGAAAACACCTATAGCACTTGTGTTCCTGTGGTCAGAATTATATATCAGAGATGACAAGATACATAGAATTCCTGTCACAAAGATTAAGGACTGCAAGATAATCATGTTAATATCATGTAGTTCCCACTGTAATATTCTGGGTTACACTCAGAGCAAAGTTCATGAATAAACACGTCCCCACAAATGACAATGTCACGCTTTTGAATAACAGGTGCATGAAGTAGGGTCATACCATTTTACCTGTTTTAATGGCAGAGGACTAGACCAGAGAGCTTTTCAAAGTCATTCCTGATCGTAAATATGTATGATTCTCTCTGCTTTGATTCTTCTTGTTGAATTCATAATTATTTTACTAACATAGTTCAAGGTTAAAAGCTCATATAGTCTATCCCAGTTTTCTTCTTACCACCTGCCCCTCCTGGAATATGCTTATTCTTCACCATAAACTGACTTCTGAAACAAGTTACCTACCAACTGCTGCAAGCACGTTCTCTCTGTACTCATGGGATACAGCCACTACATCAAATAAAGTATCCCAGTTAGCGGCTCCACATTTCTCTATCAGCTCATTCCATTCTTTCTTTTACACATCTCTTGGTATTATCCTTCTGCTGTCTACTTCTCCCCAATCTGTTACATTATTCTCAATGAACACTTTTTTGAAGAAAATATCTATTTTGAATAAAGTCCATGAAGTAAAAGGTGTCTTCAGGTAATTCCCTTTGACCTGGGAAGAGAGGTTTTTGGGGTTTGCGTTTTTACTTTGAGTTGTCCTAAAACATGTTGCTCTGGGATTTGCTTGATTAAATATTGTGGAAATTGTTCCACTGACAGGTCACCCCCAAGAATAGGGTACTTGGAAACTGGGGGTGCTCTATTGCTGATTTAGTGTTTCAAATACTTTGATAGTAGTCAAATATATTTACGGTTTAATGAGGTATTAATGTTAAGAAGAAAAGATTATACTCATTCTCTAATATCTGCAGGTACCAGCGGTCTAGATAGTATAGCTTCTGGGATAGTAAAAAAGTGTTTTTAAAAATTCTTACCACATAGATCAGGAACTGCCAGCCAACAAAGTAATACTGTACTGTTCTTGCAGAGATAGGCTGAGTTCTATTTGGAGCAAAGTTCACCAATAAATATGTTCCCACAAATGCCAATGTCATACCTTTAAATAAAATTGAAAAGACAAACCAAGTTGAAAAGGGATATTTAAGTCTTTTTGTCAATGCAGACATTACCTACAGACTATTACTTGTAAAAATGCCTACAGTCCCTTCCTGTTAAAATACAGTTCACCAAACCATCTCTAGATAGCATCATGCATTCACATGATGGCATTATCTTTATAAGAGAGATAAAGGCCATGGAAAGGATCGAGTAGGACATGACTTCTGATTTTTCTTGTTGTTTCAGATGAATCCTTGCCTCATCAGAAAACCAAAATATGGCCAAGATCATAACACGTGCATTTGGAGACATGAGAACACATCCAAGCTGGCTGTTTGTTCTCACACTGACCAGTAAGAAAATGATAGATTTAGGTCCATCAGAGCCCAGAGAGTGGGAAAGTTCACCACCTGATGATCTACTCTGTACTGATTCATCTTTGAAGCTTGTACACACACACACACACACACACACACACACACACACACACACACATGATTTTACACTTTTCATTGCCATTTATTGGAGAACTTTTAACAGAAATAACAAAGGTGAATGTTGACTTTGGTATAAGATTTATTTAATACAATTTAGAGTCTAGAATTCTAGGAGTAACTTAGTAAAATATCACATTATAAACCTATGTAATCGATGTGTTACTGTCATTCCTTTAACATTACTTAAAATAATGGAGGAAAGAAATGTGTACGGGAAGAGGGGCCACTTAAGGAGGAATAGAGGGAGAGGCCTTGACCTTGCAAATAACACTGAAAACTGCTTATTTATTAATCATCAGCAGAGAAAAACTGATATATGTAGCATTTTTCAGATAGCACCCTTGAAAACATAATTCAACTTGTTTCATCACTAAGGTTAGCATTGTTGTGTATATAATTTACAACCAGCACTGACTCCAACCTGAAGCCATTGGGTTGGTTTATAAAATCTCACAATTCAAAGATACCAATTTCCTGTTCCTCTTAATCAAATGATTTAGGGTTTTAAACTCTAGTTTCCGATAACAAACAGCATTTGACTTTTCACACAAGCTAGACAATAGTTATTCAAGGTATTGTAGAGGCTATAAAATAAGCTTCTTCTAATGTAAGAACTTACTCTGTAATTCTTTGTGAAGGTGGAAATTATATACAAAATTTTTAAAGCTATTTCTAATGAGAATTTTTATTTTTATTTTTTTAATTTTTTAAAACGTTTTATTTATTTCTAGGAGAGAGAGAGAGAGAGAGAGAGACAGCGTGAGTAGGGGAGGGTCAGAGAGAGAGGGAGACACAGACTCTGAAACAGGCTCCAGGCTCTGAGCTGGCAGTCAGCACAGAGCCCGATGCGGGGCTCGAACCCACGAACCGTGAGATCATGACCTAAGCGAAAGTCGGACGCTTAACCGACTAAGCCACCCAGGCGCCCCTCTAATGAGAATTTTTAAAATGAAAAAACAATATACATTATTAAGTGCTGCAATAAAAAGAAAATAATAAAAACTGTATATAAGAATTTGGGCAAAATTATTGTTCAGCCCTGCCCTTTCTTTGGAAATGAAGAAAAGATTTTGTAAGAAAATAGTTCAATATTAGGTTCCTAGGAAGATGGGATTAAAAAAAAACAGATTTCTAAATTTGGTACACTGAAATAGAATAAATCCATTGAATACAACTCAAAAATCTCAGAGACTTCTTTCTTTTGTGAAGTCCGAATTTCTTATTTTTATTGAGTTCCTCTGCCAGTAATTTTTTATCTCCTATAACTGTATCTAATGTCAATTAAACTTTTTTAAAGTTAGTTTTGAATGGGTAACATATGGTAAAATAATTTTTTTAAAGACACACAAGGGTAGTGAGTGAAAAGTTAAATTTCTCTCATAACCTTCAGGCCCACTAGTTCCCCTCCTGGAAGTTAATACTGTCACCAAGTCTTAGATTTCCTTTTCCAGGGATATGTTACTCAGGTGTGTGAGAGAGTGCATAAGTTTTGGTTTTCTACACAAACGATAGCATATTATACACACTTGCTTTTGTTCTATAACAGAATATGTTGGAGAACATTTCACATCAGTATATATAGGGCAGCCTCATTCTTTTTAAGTCTGCATAATATCTCACGCTTTGGAGGTAGTGTTATTTCACTTAGCTTTCCAAAAGGGTCCCTGGTCCACATCCTGACATCTCCCTTCCTGCCTCACATCTGCTTCCTCATTTGCATACTGTGCCCATTTCCACCAAGGCGGATCTTCACTACATTTCAAAATTCCCTGAAAACAAATAAAATGACTGATGATTTTGCAATTGTACTTTCAAAGTACTTTTGCACGTATGTTATTTCACTTGAGCAGCATATCACTGGGAATCTAGTAAAGAACTCTGTGGCAGCTCAGTAGGTCACACATCCTTTTTCTTAATAATTTTAATTTCAGCTCCTGCAACAATTACCAAGGTAGTGCTAGACAGTTTGCTACCTGTTATATGCTTGTTTACTTGGTGTCATTTGTATTTGTCTGTGGGATTCACTGCCTCCTGTGTGGATCATGTGCATACTTTCTACAAGTGTGTAGAAGTGTTGAAGAAAGTCATTAGCAGCTCCTTAAATAAATTTCCTTAAAATGTATTTATAGCCCAGCTTTTTCTAAAAGTGGCATGAGATGTCATTTCCTGATTTCCTTTTTCAATGAAGCCATAAACTTTCTTTCATTTGAAAGACACAGATTTCTAAATCAGAAAACTTGGTAGTTTACCTTCTGCTGGCCCATTTGCCCAAGGGAGTAATCTGGAAGCTTAAGATACTCCAGGAAGGGAAGTAGCCCTTGGCACGCTCTTTGCCCGTGGAAATGATTAAATTCCAGGTCAAAACCTGGATCATGAAAGGCTAATGCATGCTGCAACTGCCCTCACAGGTTCAAATTTTGCTGCTGCGTGCTGGCCGGAAGAGCTGGGGCATGCTGTTTACCCCTCTGTGACTCGGTCTCCTCATCTCTAGGTATAGTGAACTTATCATAACTTCTAGGCTCCAGAATTTGGCGGGGCAAGAGGCCAATCTGGGGAGCTGAATAGATTTGAAAGCTCGTCTGGAGGCCTGATGTGACAGAGGACTCTGGAACAGATCTACCTCAGGATACTGACCACTGGAGTCAAAAGCCAATTCAGGTAAGTTTAAAAATTAATCTCAAACTGGCAGCTCTTTTTGTCCAGGGGTCCTGTCCCTGTGCTATAATAAAAGCACCTTTTTGCACTGAAAGTATCTTAAGAATTCTTTTTTGACTGTTTGCTCAGCAGCCTCACATCAAGAGGAAGCCTGGGGCCCTTCCTCTTGTCTAGACTTTGAGTCGAGGTACAAACTAGGTAAGTTACTCCTTCTTTTCTTCTTTCACTTTCACTCCAGGGGCTTTTCAAGGAATATGGTCTTATTGGAACACTATCATGTTGATTGCAACCCTCTAGCCTGTGACTACTCTCCAGGGAGGAATAAAGGCCTGCCTTTTGACTGGAAGCTAGTTCCCTGGCCAGAATCGTAACAAGACCCAGAAACTTGATGCCCTCTCTTTATCCCTATCTTTTCTTCGGGGCAGGGGGCAGGGGAGGAAGGTGGGTAGGAGCAGAGATAGAGAGAGAGAGAGAGAGAATCTTAAACAGGTTCCATACTCAGCACAGAGCCTGACACAGGATTTGATCCCAAAACCCTGGAATCATGAACTGAACCAAAATTGAGAGCAGATGCTCAAATGACTAAGCCACTCAGGCACTCCCATCACTGTTCTTATACAAAGTTATCTTTCTTGGGCACGAACAGCCACCTGTCACTAGGACGGCTGCCAACATTAAGACTCCCATGTGAGGTTTCCTCCTCATTGGTCCAATGTGATCCCCTCCACATCCTTGGTCTAGCCACTTCTGGCCATGAGACCTCCACTGGAAACTGGCCAAAACCAATACCAATACCAACTGAATTAAAACCCAACCAGGGACCATTTCCTAGAGAAGTTGTCTGTAAAGACTACATACATGTATTGGAATGTCACTTAGACCATGATGGATTTCTATCTTTACTATTCTTCACCAACATCCCCTATTAACTACTTGATTTACGATATTAGGTAATTTCATCTTGTAAAACTTTTTTAGTGTCTCCATGGGTTACAAATGACAGTATTGTATTTCAGTCTACTCACAGCCACCAATTTGTAGTCTGGAATGCAATGGGGAAGTGCAGGGATATCGACATCCCTTCAGTAAGACAGGTTGGTATTCGCTAACGACTTTCTGAGGGAAGGTCTGGTTGTTCTGAACACTAGGAACCCTTGATATTATCCTGAGTGGAATGCCACCCAGCAGTCAGGGGGATTATGATAATAGCCTTTTCTTCCTCATTCCCCAAAAACTCTCCCTTGGGATGTCTCCTAACCCACTGGAGCCAATTTGGTTTTTTTTGTTTTTGTTTTTTAATTTTTTTAAATGTTTTATTTATTTCTAGGAGAGAGAGAGAGACAGCGTGAGCAGGGGAGGGTCAGAGAGAGAGGGAGTCACAGACTGAAACAGGCTCCAGGCTCTGAGCTGGCAGTCAGCACAGGGCCCGACGCGGGGCTCGAACTCACGAACCGCGAGATCATGACCTAAGTGAAAGTCGGACGCTTAACCGACTAAGCCACCCAGGCGCCCCCCACTGGAGCCAATTTGGATTGTAAGATTTAATGAAGAAAGGACTCGTCTTCTCCAATAACGCATACCCTCAGAACTCCTTAGGAGATAAGGAAAAATGGTCCATTAACAGGTCCTTAAACTTCAATCCTATTTATCAGTTAGAACTTTTTTTGGTAAATGTCAGGGAAAACGGACCGTAATCCCATATGGTCAGGCCTTTATGGCACAGTACCCAAACTCTGATATGCCCGTATTCTTTTGCAGGGCTTGAGGGCACCTCTCTCCTCACCCTGACCCTCAATCCACAGCTCAGCTGCCTCGAGCCCTTCTACCACCTTACCTGTGTCTTATC